GTCACGTAACTTCTCCTCCTCCTCCTCCTCCTCCTCCTCCTCCTCCTCCTCCTCCTCCTCCTCCTCCTCCTCCTCCTCCTCCTCCTCCTCCTCCTGCACCTTTTATCCTATGCTCGTTGCTCCGATCTCACTCATGGCTCAGCTCATGTCGAGAAGAGCACCAAGGACAAACTCGCCGATATGCAGGTGACCCTCGTCTCCTCCCCTCCCTTAGACACTCGCCACCCCCGCACCTCCTTTCTTTCCAGCACTCTCATCGCTTCCTTTCTCCTCCGCACTCATTCCCTTGCTCCTCCCCTTCCCGCCACCGCTCTTCTCCTCCCTCCCTCCCCCTCTCCTTCCTCCTCACCGCCGCGCAGAGGAAGCTCAACAGGAGGATGCTCAAGTCCGGCAAGGGGGAGGGGGAGGACAAGGACAAGGGTGCCTCCTCGCAGGATCTCAAGCTCAAGCAGTGGGTCGCGCTGCAGGCCAAGTCGAGGAAGATTACAGAGGAGGAGTTCCAGCAGCTAGCGACGAAGAAGCAGGAGGAGGTGAAGGACCTGCTGACCCGCATCCTCGCGTTTCGCTGCCGGCAGGGGGAGGACGGAGGGGAGGAGGAGCTGCAGGAGCTCACGAGCAGCTTCAACGACGCCTCCTCGTGGTTCGCCGGAGGGTTCAAGGAGGTGAAGGGGAGGCATGCGGAGAACTGGCAGCAGGTGGAGAGGAAGATTGAAAGCATGATGCTGTTCTCTGTTATGGTCGCAGACATGCGGGAAGGAGCAGGGAAAGAGGCCGAAGAGTCGCTCGCTGCCCTCCTGGAGGATCCTTGGAGGCTTGCTGCGAGCGGGGAGGACGATGAGAGGGTGGAGGGGCTGGTGAGAGCGAGGGAGGGGCTGGAGAAGAAGAGGAGGAAGTGGGGAGACGTGCGAGCGAATCTGGAGAGCTTCCGCAAGCTCGGGCTGGAGCTGGAGGAGGCAGAGGTCAAGACTGCTCTTCGTCGCACGATCTCCGAGAGCTGCATGGCGGCCATGATGGTGGTGGGAGCGGCGAGGGAGGCGAGCGCGAGGAGCAGCGAAGTTGCTGGGGAGGAGGAGGGGGAGGGGGAGGCGGTGAAGGGGAGGAGCAAGCAGGAGAAGATCCCCGTGTTGAGGGAGGAGGTGAAGAGCGCTATGAAGCTCCTGCTGGAGACTTGCGAGTATGTCGGAGAGGAGGGGATGGCGCGAGAGCTTGCGTACCCCGTGATGGCGGCATGCCTGGGGGCGGAGGTGAAGTTGGTGCAAGAGAGCTACTCGAGGAGGAGGAGGAGGGGAGAAAAGGGGACAGAGGTCCTGCGGGACTTCGAAGGGAGCATGAGACTTTTCCGGACGTTCGAGAAGCTGAGGGGTGTGTGCTCGGGGAAGAGGAGGGGAGAGAAGCTGGGAATTCCCCAGCAGCTCTCCTGCAGCCTGGAGGAGGTCACCGACTGCCTCCTCCGGCACATCCTGTCGGAGTTCGACGCCTCCTCAGCTGCGAGCGGGCAGGGGGAGGAGAGGCAGGACAAGGAGCTGATCGGCTGGCTGGTGCTGGGATGCAACTTCATGAATGCCGTCATGAACCTCGTAGGAGAGATGAAGGACGCGAAGGTAAGTTCAACCCCTCTCTCGTCCTCCTTGCTGCTGCTGCTGCTGCTGCACAGTTGCTGTTTGCCTCCTGTCCGTTTGATCCTTCTGTGAATCCTCTTGTCTGTGCCTCCCTCCTCCTCATGATGATGATCATCGATCTCATTCTTGTCTTGGCTCGCTGGCAGGTCGAGGATCTCTTAGCTTCGTTCATGAAGCTTGAAAGCAGATTGTCCAAGTAGAATTTTCAAGTTTTTGTTACAGTATAGTTTGACTTCACGGCACTTGCTCAAGACAAACTCATGCTACTCATACATTCATGGGGTCGTGGCATCAAAACTTCAGATCGTAGATGTGAACTTCTGTTGGAAAACGTCTTGCTTCGCCTGTTTGATCTCTTTTATGGCTTCGTTGGCTTCGTGTACATCTGCAATAGATATTTCGTCAACGCACGACAACATTCAATGACATCTCCAGCACAATACACAGAATGACACTGAAGTACCTTTGAATTGCTTGCAATCCTTGATGAAGTTGTCATAGAAGGCAAGAAGCTGGTCAAGGTTTCTGAAGCGATTCTTGATGCTATCCTCGGCGGTCCAGGACTGTTTGGATCTGTTTGAACAATCACCAGTACAACCCAACGTGTCATAAGATGTCACCTTTCAAGGAAATGAGCGAACTTGATTTCATCACACACAGACTTGAGCAACAAGCTTTGCTCCTCAACCTGCTCAAGAAGCATGAGAGACCTGCTGAATGAAGAAGAATCTATGAGCATCGGCGTTTGAAAGTCGTGTCTTGCCGCACTCTTCAACTTTCCTCCTCTCTTACCTTACTTGCGTAGTACATGATGAAGAACTCAGCTCTGCGACTGCTCTTTGACCGCGAGTTGGTCATGCGGAAACCACCAACCTCGAAGAGATGAGACATCTCTCGCATCTTTGCCACATACTTCTTCTTCTCTGACTCTATCGCCTCCTTCTGGCGGGTCAAACTGGTGCAAAAACGTTCACATCCTCCCCTGGCGCCCATAGGTACCTCTCACATGGTAACTTTGTCGTCGTTCCTCTCCTTCCTCTCTGTCGCAGAATCAATTCTTTCACCCTCAGACTGACTGGCTGGCGGCTCTCCCGTGTAGCTCCACGAGGGGACCAGGAAGGAGAGGCTGAAGCTATTTCTGTCGGAGTTTGTGCTGAATGGCGAACTTTGCGTCGAATTTTCCTGCTCCCCCTCTGCAAACTTTGCGCTCTTCTCTCTTACCCTGGGAGGACTGAACCTGGGAAGACTGACCTCGCTGGAACCAAATCTCTCAGAACTTGTCGCCTCCTCCCTTAACTCCTCCTTCACCTCATTCCGCAGAACCAGTCAAAGGATTCTTCCTCTCTCGGAAAACAGCTCTGCCCGTCCACGAGGGACTGCACGTCGTCTTCATGAGCAGCATCGTTGTTGTTGTCATAGTCTGCATCAGTTTCTGCCATGTTTTCATCTGAGTAGCCGAGATCGTTCAACAGCCGCATCAACTCTGCATCGCCGAAGAAAATCATCGAGTTTGCGGAAGACCTTCGCCTTGTCGACGGGACATGTGGGAGAGACGGAGGAGAGTCGACAGCTTCTCTCCTGCCTTCTGCCTTCCCTCTTCTTTCTCCTCCTCCTCCTCCCATGATCTCTCCTCCTCCTCGAACCATGTCCTCCTGTGCACTGTCGCATTGACGCACCATCGCCCCAGTCAAACACTGCAGTCGCTCGCGGCGGGTGCAAAACAATCCCCACCCCCACCCCCAGCCCACCACCCCTCATGGGGACAGCACTGCTCCGATTACACCCCTTTTATCCTAACTCTTCCAGACTAAAGACCACCCGTACTTCAACTCCTACCGTACCATATCGGACCCCACCCACACCGTTCTCACGCTCTGGACTTTGAAGGGTGTGTATATCGGACTTGACAACTACAAGTCACTCACTGAGTCCGGGCTGAGGCTCGTCGGAGTCGGATGCCGCGCGGCAGCGGCCCCCGGTTCATGTAATTGCACGGTGACCGTCGCGCGAAAGCCTCCGCCGATGATCAGCGGCCAGCGGATGACATCGCTGCGGACCGTGTACACGGGCCATCCGATCGACCGGGGTGACCGGCGGCGTCGGACCGTCCGACCGTGCCCGGCCCGCCGGCCCGCCGGCGTGGTACGGTCGGTCGGACGGTCTGTACGGTCAGAGTGACTGATTTATTACTCAAAGTTAAGCAGTCACGAGTCAGTTGTCCGCCGATCGGATCAGTTTTGGTCAACTTGGCTTACTAGTTATGGGAGATCACCCCCCCACCCCCGGTCGCCCCCAGCATGATGTGGATGAGACTCCCGGGGGTCCAGGTAGTACAAATAAGGCCCGATTGACTCATGATACTAGCTTAGGTGTGGGGGGGTACCTGCACCGCCTCCTATGGACCTCCTAGAGGAATTACCGTGCGGTCACTACCAGGGTTGTAGCCTGAGGGTGGGGGTGGTGGCTGACAGCCAGGGGTAGTCAGAAACACCCGATGGCACCTTCGGGGATGATGGAAGCGGTGCCGGGAGCGACCGAATAGGGGTGGGGTGATACAGAGATTGGAGCACTACCTACCATTACATAAATAAATGGCAGGGATAATCAGGGGTGGGTAGTTATCAGGAAGTCTATGGGGTGGGTGTCTCAGAGCCTTGCGAGTGCGACTCGGGCAGTTGAGCTATGGGCGATACGCAGCACACGTTGGGGCTGTTCTCATACGTTCCCTCCATCAGTCTCGGGTGAGTAGGGCAGGAGACACGCATGCTCGTCTTGTTGTGCTGAGATCATGGCGAACGAGTGCCAGGAGCCGCTCTGACTGTGAGTAGTTCTCGAGAGAGAACAAAGGTTGAACAAGGATTACATCTGTGTTTGTGTTTGGCAAGACTTTTGTTGCTGTGTACATGTGAAAGGACGCATGATGTTCAAGTGTCCCCAGTAAGCGTCGATCGGTCTGCAGGTGTCCATACAACAGCAAGGCTGGGAGTATTGATGACCGACAGAAGGGAAAACAGTTTCTAACAACCCCCTCCAAGAAAGGTGAGCTCAATCTTGATGCGATTTCGCAACAGCAGCTGACCTCACTGCAATGCTGTCCAGGGAGCACACCCGACGTCACTTTCACAAGGTTCTCAACAGTCTCGGTCTGGATTCTCTTTCCGTGCAGTCAGGTTGTTGACTTCTGATGCTGTCTCAGGTGGGAACGCCCTACTCGCCGCCATTGCAGAACTTGCAGAGGGGGGAGAAGAGCTCGTGAGAGTTTGAGCCATGCTTCTATGCTTCTTTGTTGCGGACTGACTCGTGATTCTCATCCTCGCAACAGCAAGGAGAGCGTTTCGCAGCCTCCCTTTCGTCCTTCCAGTCCGACCAAGACCAGCCAGGGCTCAGGATCATACTACGGATGCTTTGGGGTCTGGAAAAACATGAAGACTACCAACAATTACGATAAAGTTCATGCAAAATCTCCGGACACAGGCTTGAAGGTGAGGTAGAAAGTGCGTTTATCATGATAACGTCAAATTGCCCTGTCGTTCTACCTTGTCATCACCGGTGTTCGATGCGCTATTCTCTATCTCAGTGTGGATGTTGCTGGTGCCTGGTCTGATAAATCCTTGCAGAACTTTTTGATTCGACCGCCGAAAAAGGGAGGGTGCGGCACGATTGGTCTCAACATAGGGGGAAATCCAGAGGGGCACGTAGGAGAGTACAAGTATTACCCTGAGCCAGCACCTGCTCGGCCCTCCTCGGCTCCTTCAGGTAGCACCTTCCGTGGGGTCATTGATGGCATGCAGAGCACTGACATGAGCATTCAGAGCTGGCGCTGAAACCCTTTGTTCCTTCCTCTCCTCCTCAGAAGGGAACTTACGGCTACATGAACCTGAACATTAACGGCATGTCGAGGCCGAAAGGCTGCGTCGGGGAGTACACCTACCAGTCCGAGCCCCTCGATCGGTTCAAGAGAGCTGAAGACGCTAGCAAGGATGTGAAGCCCTTCCGACCCTCCAGCCCTTCAAGGAAGGGAAGGTAGACTCCCCCCCCCCCCCCCCTCTTTCTGCTCCGCCTCGTGGCTCAGATGTTATCAGGGGATTCTATGGAACCTTCACGTGGTCAGGGCAAACGTACATGTCTGACACAGATTCGCACTCGAAAGACATGAAGAAGTCTCCCTCAAACCCCGACCTGCCCAAATGTTTGGATGAGATGAATCGAGCTTGATGGTAGTGATGTGGATGTGCAGATGGAGTTTTCAAGCCTTGCTCGGGATCCAAGTCGTTGCGGGTGACGTCGATTGCCAACCACCCGCGCAATCTAGAAGGAGGGCACCCCGTGCTGGTGTGCTTGCACTTGCCCCGTTGTTCATCTCGTGATGCTCGATCCTTCAGATGCAGAGCAGACTGGCTCGGACCAACTGATCTGCAACTAGAGCTGCAGGAGACTGTTACGGGTGCTGCATCGATTGGCTCTGCACTGCCGCATCTACATCGCCAAAGGTTGTGCGGAAGCAATCAGGTAGCCCCCGCCTATCAGTCTTGCAGTCATCAACAATGTATTGCCAAATCCTTAGGGTTTGGTGTTCATTGGTTAAGATCTAGTAGAAGTAGCAGGTAGATGCACTAGGGTATCTGATCACCTTTTGTTGTCTACCTAAGACCTAGTTTGTACATATTTTCTTCTACATCCCTCTGTGCTCCGAGCTGAGCCTGTCAGAAAGTATCCGTGATTGCGTTCGCATCGCACATCCTCAGGTACTTGTCAGCAGTTCCTGCTTTACCACTTGACATCCCAACGGCCTAGTGGAAAAGAGTCGATTTCATGAAGTTGGGCAATCGTCTTAAAATGATATAGTCATCTGCCTGACCGTACGGGCACCCGTGACCCAGAAACGTTTCCATAAACGGGCCCTGACTGACTCACCGACCAGTCGCTCCTCACTCGGCGACCTCTTGGCGGAGTCAGCCTGCGGCAGGATTAAGAAAAGATTAAGCAGCCCCAACCCGAGTCACCGTCACGGTAACTTAAAACTGAAGGTACTGAGCCCCGGACCCGGCGCCGCGGCGCCGGGCCCGGCCTCACCGTCGGACGGTCTGTGCCATGATGCCCGGATGATGGATGGACTGTGTACGGTCATAATGATGATAACTTTGAGAACCATACAATTATGATGATGGCAAGCTCGGGCCAGTCGGTGTACGGTAGCCCGACGGTCGGATCGGCTAGCAGGGAATCGGCGCCAGAGGGCTCAGGCATCCGACGGCACGCGCAGGGAAGCTCTGAGTCACAAGCGCAGATGAGTCAGAATTTGGGAAACTGCCTTCAACGCTATCAGTCCTCTGTTCATAGTTTCCAGACTCGCCATGGTCATCCAGGCTCCAAGCTGAGCATTCAACCTTCGGCGCTGAAGCTATCATGGAAGCGAAGAGTCCTCTCTGACATAACGTGTTCCCTGTTGTTTATCCAAAGCAGTGGAAGAACCTCAACCCTACTCGTGGCGACCTGATCTTGAATCATGCCTCCCAGAAAATAGTGATTTCAAGGGTTTATCAATATTTTCAAGGGTTTATCAATATTGATAGGGGGTGTTTATCAATGTAAGAACAAACTGGCATGGCAGGACATCTAATGAACTATGTTGCTTTCATCAAGGGCGTTTGCAATACAATTCATACGCACGTATTTTAGTGGACTAAGTCTGGTAGAGGATACGACCTTGCAATCAAATAAAGAACCCTGCATAATTTCTGATAATGGCATGACTGCATGGTAATGCAATGTCTTCTCTTATGCTCTTCACTGAGCACGACTGCAAAAAAGTCTTTCAGAAGAATGAATCTTGATAGAAATCGTGCACAAAATCATAACATAATTCATAAGCAAGTCATCTGACACGAGGATCATATGTTTTCAGCGCTTGCACTAACATCAGGCTAATGTCAAATTGATCTTCAAGATCTGAAGTCTCAAAGAATTCTTCTTCGTCTCTCGCACATGCTACAACAACACTCACCAAAGCGAACCCTACACGTTGGGAGGAAACAAACTCTCAAAGCTCTGCATTCAATGCCCTGCGATGCTTCTTCTCATACCTTCTCGATCGAGGCAAGAGGAGGCGGCAGAAGGGCACGCCCCAATCACTTGAAAGGGCCCACCCTCTCCAGCGGCCTCCCCCCGCCCCCTCGTCACAGTGCATGAGCAGCACCCGTGCGGAGTAAACATGTTTGCAGGTTTGCGATGAGTAAAACCTGTCGGAGGGCCCCGGTGGTCTGGCACGTCGGACTGTCACAGGCCCCGTGGCACGTCGGGCACTGGCGGGTGTCAGGCCCCTCCCGGCCGCACGAGTTCTTAATTCCTCTCCCTGATCTTTAATCCCAGCGCTCCTCGAATCTCAATCTTGTTTTTTGCCCGGTGACCCCTTGCCACTGAGACGTAGCATCCTGGTACCCCATGCTTCCCCATGGGATACAGGGGTGGGGTGCGAAGGTATCATCGAAAAAATGCGATTTCGAGTCAGGTGTGATGGTCATGTCCAGGTCACGTTACTGATACAAAAAAAAGTGTGTTCCGGACATCTCCTTCAGGACTACCCCACCCCAATAGCGGGTAACCCATGTACCAAGCTTCATTACCCCACCTTGCACCTTGGTTCAACTCGTTGTCGGTCTTATATGCACATACTTCAATTTTGCTTCATGTCACTTAATGAATCTTTCACCCTCATGTAGCCTGCTGTCCTCCTGATTGACCCTACCCTCTTTTGCAAAATCATCAGCACCCCCTACCTCCTATCATTGTACCCCCACCCTACCCAAATATGAGTACCCGGACAAGACCGGTACTGGAGCAAAGTCATACCTTCCATCAATTTTGTACTTTACCACCCCCCACCCTCCTACTACCCACCCACCTTGTTTCGAAGCAAAGGTTATGTTACTCCTGACCCTTTTGATAAACTAAACTACACCCTACCCATCACGCCTCTTGCTCTTCTACCACCCCTGGTTTGATTTATCCCCCTGCCTATAATTCGAACCAATCTTATGGACCCCGATTTGTTAGGGTTGTTCATGTGATGGGACCCGGTAGTCCTTCAATATGATCCTGAGAGCCCTATTCCCCTGACTACCCCCATAGAGTCACATCCTACCCCCCAATAAACTCCAAGATTGGGCATTCCAGATACCACCCACCCCTAGCCCCTCAATGAAATTACCCCACCCTTGTGTTTCGTTCCGGGAAAAAAAGAGAACCACCAACCCCTTGTGGTCACGGAGAGCGCAAGGGGGAAGGGCTTGCTCCTGATCAAGTCTTCAAGAAGTAGGGAGGGAGTAAGAAGTCAAGGGCAGGACAGGCACTCGGTCAAGAAACCTGAAACAGGATAGACACTCGGTGCTGATACAGGCGGTCGGCTCAGAAACAAATCGCTTGCACGACATCGAGTTACCATCTTCAACAGGGAGCAGCGATATCATCGCACCAAAAGCTGAAAGACCTGCAATCTATCAAACAAGATCAGGAAAGACGAGATTTATCTGGATAAACAGCCTGGAATATTGACGAAAACTACAAAGCGTGGAAGATAATAGCGCAATGCAAGATCATATTTTTGAAACTTACGAGACACTAATTGCAGCGGCTGTAAAGGAGCAAATGCACGACATATGGGAAGTAGGCAGCATCCTCGTACTGCTGCTGGTCATTCTCATAGCTGTCTTGTCCATCTACTCCAGCAAGCTCTTCTCCGTAGACAAGAGGAACCACTCCCTCGAAGCCAAGCTCAGAGAGGTATTGATCTCGATCAAAGATCAGAAGCAGAAGCAGAAGAAGATGCAGGACTACATCTACTCCCTCGAGGCTCAGCTGCTATGCTCCTGCCAGGTGCCGAGGGCAACGAGGACGCCGTCGATCGGGTCGACAGGATCGGATGCAGAAAGCATGATGAGCGATATTGACAGTCCTCAGGTCTTGGGAGGGTATCAATGGATGTCACAATCCTTCACAGACTCGAAGGGGAAGAGGAGGTCTCCCAAGAAGTGCAGGAGCCCCATCAGACGAGCTACAAGTGTCTGCGGCTCCTCCTGCATGTCCCTTACCAAGGAGGAGAGGACGACCCTCGCGGGGTACAAGCGCCTCTCCCCCAACAACGTGGACTATTCAGTCTTCCCCCACAACCTCCACTTCGACGACAACCTTCACATCCCGGACTTCCTGTGTGGGGAGGAGCTGTTCGACATCGAGGAGAAGTCCAGCACGCAGCACATGCACGGCTGCTCGTCATGCACCAACATCAGCGACCTGAAGCGAGCGCCGAGCCAGAGCAGTGGGTCGAGGTTCTACGCCAACGTGGTGAGGGAGAAGAGCGGGTACAGCAGCGGGAAGTGAGAAACGTGTAGAAGAGACAAGGAAGCTTCTGCTGGAGGCGATGGATGTGTAGTTTTTCGATGATTTTTTTGGGGGGGATTAAATTACAGATTGTTTGTATATGAGTGAACGTCCAACTCTCTGTTGAACTTGATGATGATCGCAGACTCTAAGAGGAAGCAATTTACCAGTTGAATATTTTGTCAGCCGGGATCTTGAAGCGGCGAAGTTTGAATTCGTCGTTCTCCTCAGGGTAATCATCCGCATCATGGTGTCACGGACTGTCGGCTGAGTCACGGTGCCAAAGTACCGTACTACGGCAGTACGATCCCCGCGACTCGGCGAGGCCGAAGGTCACCGGGTGCCGCCAGATCGACTCCGAGGCTCGGGCCGCAATGTCAAGATGACACCGATCGGATTTCAATCATTGGAAGCTAATTCAGTCACTGAGTGAGCCTCAGTGTACCGGGCCCGATGATGCGGCCCGCGAACTTTGGAAGCCTCGGCTGCCAGTGAGCGGATGCCGGTTACCGCCGTCCGATCAACTTGGCAAGTTCAGCAGTTGGCCGCGCATGCCGGGCCCGGCGACCCGGAGGACTTTCAAGCCGCTCGGAACTTCCGAACTTGGCAAGTTGGATGCAGCACTGGCAAGTTCCGTAAGGAACTTTGTACGGTCACTGAGAGCCATGGCCGCGCTTACTACTGTTACTAGCCGTACTGATTTTTCACTTAACTTTGAGTAAAGGAAAGCCAGTAGGGCCGGCCGCCGCGAAGCCAAATTGACTTGAATTCGGCCATCCCGGCGATCATAAGTGATCATGGCGGCATGGCATTCAGCTGACTCAGTGAAGTACTAGTATCAGTGCCCCGGTCGCCTGAAGGAGGCCGGGGCCCACCGTGCTGACCGGCGGGCCGGCCTGGCAGTGCGCAGTACCGCCTCCCCCCCCCCCACCCCCCTCCCGGATCGCCGGGACTCAGACCAGGACTCCGGACTCGGGACTCGCCGGTGATCGGAGGACCGGTGCCAATGCCGGTCACGCCGCGGGCCCGCAGACAGAGTCTGCGGGCAACTGCCAAGAGGTCAGAGGTGACGGTATGAGGGGTGGTTATGAGAAGGGTAAAAGGGGTCCTGACTAGCTAGCTAGAGGGCGCGGATCTTAACTCCTGCCTGTAAAGTGAGTCACGTGGAGGTGTAACTATGGCGATCAGTTCGCGAAAAAACGAGATTTCGTACGAGATACCATCGGAGATCCGGGGAGCTGCCTTACACGTCTATGTGTACCCCTACCCCTCGGACCCCACGATTACAGCTATTGATGCATTCAACAGGGCTTACCTGACCCTCTCAAAGATATCTTATTGGCTCATTCGAGGAATCTGCTACCTTTGTTGGGTTATCTCGCACCCCGCCGATAGCAACCCTTCCCACTTCCCAACCTTTATATGGTACGTAGAGTCGTACAGGCCGCGGGCGTACCCGGATCCTTTCAAGCAAGAGCGCGAGCAGCAGCCAAAGAGGCCATGCAGGATCTTTGCGAGCTCAGCAACCTCCTCCTCCTCCTCCTGGTCGCCCTTATAGCTGTCCTGTCCATCTACTCCAGCAAGCTCTTCTCCGTAGACAAGAGGAACCACTCACTCGAAGCCAAGCTCAAGGAAGTTTTGAGCGTGATGAGAGACGCCGAACAGAAGCAAAAGAAGATGCAGGACTACATCTACTCCCTCGAGGCTCAGTTGCTATGCTCATACCAGGTGCCGAGGGCTACGAGGACGCCGTCGATCGGGTCGACAGGATCGGATGCAGAAAGCAGTGAAAGTCCTCATTCAGGTGCTGGATACCAATGGGACTCCAAGGGCAAGAGGAGGTCTCCCAAGAAGTGCAGGAGCCCCATCAGACGGGCAACCAGCATCTGCGGCTCCTCCTGCATGTCCCTTACCAAGGAGGAGAGGACGACCCTCGCGGGGTACAAGCGCCTCTCCCCCAACAACGTGGACTACACCTCCGCTCCCCATAGCTTTCACTTCGACGACATCACGTGCGGGGAGGAGCTGTTCGACATCGAGGAGAAGTCCAGCACGCAGCACATGCACGGCTGCTCGTCATGCACCAACATCAGCGACCTGAAGCGAGCGCCGAGCCAGAGCAGTGGGTCGAGGTTCTACGCCAACGTGGTGAGGGAGAAGAGCGGGTACAGCAGCGGGAGACCTGTGGAGTCACGAGGATGGAATAAGAGTCTGTGAGGCCTTGGGAGAGATTGGCAGGAGAAGGAGTAGACGAATGAGAAGGAGAATAAGGAGAAGAAGAAGGAGGAGAAGGAGGAGAAGGAGGAGGTGAAGGAGGGGAGGAGGAGGAGGAGGAGAAGGCGGAGGAGGAGAAGGAGCAGGAGAAGGAGAAGGAGAAGGAGAAGGAGAAGGAGAAGGAGAAGGAGAAGGAGAAGGAGAAGAGAGGTTGTTTGTAAAATTTGCATGTTTGATTGATTAGAATACACACGTCTAGACGAGATGGCCCGGAGCAAAGTTGCCGACTTGAGTCACGTCAATCTTCTTGGAGATGATTGCAGACTGTAGACAAGGAAAGAGTAGAAGGAGAAAGACAAGATGTATAGGATGAGGATGAGGTGAAGGTTGAGATGGCAGAGGAGGAGGGAGAAGGAGGAAGAGACAGCGAAGAGAAGCGGAAGGAGGAGTAGGAGGAAATGAGAGAAGGCGGAGACAGGAAAAAGTCAGCAGAGGGAAACATTGAAAGCGTGATGGGAGCAAGTGGAGATACAAGGCATTCACATCGCACCTGGTAGTCTCGATCTTTCTTGGAGTAGCTGGGAAAGAATCATGATCAGGACGGAACGCAGAGGAACTGGAAGGGGAAGGAGGAAGGGGAAGGAGGAAGGGGAAGGGGGTCCGAAGGAGTCTCATGGAAGAGCAAGGAGAGCGCAAGGAGTTACCGGTCCCATATCGGTGAGCCTCGAGCTTTCTGCGACGAGCTTGGAACTTGCTGTTGATGAGTGTGAATGGAGAAAGATGTGGTAGTGGTGGTGAAGGAGGTGGGAGGAAGAGGTGGTGGTGGTGGAGGAGGAGGAGGTAGGAAGAGGTGGTAGTGGTGTTGGTGGGAGGAAGATCGTTATCTCGAAAAGATTAAATGACGGCAGAAGAGAGGAGATAGAGGAGGAGGAAAGAAAAAATCCACTCACGCTGATCATCGATCCTGGACTTGGAGATCTCGCGACGTGAAAAGTTGGAGAGCTGCTGCGAGAGCAGTGAGGAGGAAGAAAGGGAGGGGAGCTGAGAAATACTTGTATCTTTCGTTCGGACTCCAATCCTTGTTGTCAGCCTGCAGTCAAGCCTGAGGGGCAGGGAGGGAAAGGAGAGGAATGAAGTTGAGAGGGAGGAGAGGCGAAGGTGTTGGATGGCAGTGGAGCTGAGCAGGGAGTATGGGAGAGGGGGAAAGAGAGGAGGGAGGGAGGTCGTGAACGGCATTCTGACTACCTGCATGGCGGGGCAGGGAAAAGACTCATATCGACGGAGTTGGAATATTGAACATTTCCTTGCAGAAGAAGTTACCAACGCCTGCGTTTCCTCCTTCTCCTCGCCCCCCCCCCCCACCACCCTTTTCCCTTTCCCTGCTTCATTGCCTCCCCTCCCTCCTCACTCGCTCCCATCGCTCACCCTCCATCGGTCTTGGTCGCAAGAAGTCAAAGTAGTCCTGAGTGACCGCTTGGCGGAGGCTCCTGGTGGCTCGAGTCATGGGCGAGAGTGAGAGGGGGAGGGGAGGAGGAGAAGCGTGACGAGTGAAGGAGAGCAGCAGAGAGGAGGTGGCAGGGGAGGAGGATGGAGGAGCAGGAGACAGTGAGGAGGGATGCAATGGAAGATAGAAGGCGGAGGAAGAGAAAGTAGAAGCAGGGGTGAGATGATGGTGGAGGCAGAGGAGGAGCAGGGAAACCCGCAGGGGCGGGAAATTCTCACCATGCTGGATTTAGAGCTGGGGTCTGCGCTGGAAGAGAAGGCTGGTTGAAGGAGTGAGCAGGCTGCTCAGATCGGGGCAGGTAGAAGTCAACAGCATGCTGCTCCTGTGGAGATGATTTCCTGTTGAGCGCGTTCACAAACAGAAGGAGGAGAAAGAGGAGGAGGAGGAGGAGGTAAACGACCAGCCAGAACAGCAGGAGAGGAGGAGGAGGAGGAGGAGGAGGAGGAGGAGGAGGAGGAGGAGGAGGAGGAGGAGGAGGAGGAGGAGGAGGAGGAGGAGGAGGAGGAGGAGGAGGAGGACGACGAGAGAGAGTAGGTGGACGACGGCCGGCGGA